AATTCGGAGTCGAAGTCGACGAATTCGCGCCCAAAAATGTTCGGAGTCGAAAGTTCGGAAGTTCTCGGAGTCGGCCCACCCTTACTACCTACCTACTACCTGGGCCATGTAGAAAATAATAACGAGAATAATGCCCCTTGTTTGTCGCCTCAAGCGTGAACAAAATTTGAAAACATGTTCAAACAACAATCTACTTTTTGGAGATATTGATTGATCAGCCATGATTATCTATGAGACTACTCGATTTATCAAACCTAGATTAGATCTAAACTGAAGTCTGTATTTTTATTTCATGACAAAGTTAATTCTTTGAAATTCCTCCATTGACATTTAGCCTAAGCGTTTTGGGTCAAGGCCATCTTTATTGCAGTTCTCCCAGTTTCCTGGAGGAGCGTGAGGATTTTTCTAGGTGTTCCGGTGACAAGAAAAATTATTAACGTCGGCTACAAAAGGTACTGACGACCCTACAAACTAGGCAGAGTAAGACTACTCATCCTGACGATTTATGATCAGAAATTTTAGTTGTTTATTATTGCAATCGAATGGTAATAGGCAAAACTGGTTTGTAACTTGCAGCACAGGTATAAAGTCAACAAGTCAGTGCAGAAGTCGACGTCGTTGGTGAGAAGGCCACGAGAAAGTGTCGAAAGTTGTGTCGTGTCGTCTAGAAAAATAAAAGATCAAGACTGTTTTATTATTATAAATTAGTCTACCATTATCATGACTACCATTATCATGACCAAGCTTCTAAAGACAATGATGATAGTGATTGTCAACCAATAAATGTCGCTATTTCCCTCAGCCCACTGCTTCAAATGCTCATTATGCTGCATGCAATGTCGCTATTTCCCTATCATGGCCAGCCCACTGCTTCAAATGCTCATTAATATAATTATGCTGCATGCATACTTCTGGTCCCTACACTGTCAGAGGAATGAGAATTCTGCGCTTTTTCGGTAGTTCCCACCCCCCTTATTTGATAGAGCCTGACCTACATCTAGATCTATATACGTTTGATTCGCGGCAAGCTAAGATGTCAAACCTAACAACTGCAAAACATTAAATTGTGGTAAAATTCAGGGGGGCATGCCCCCCTGAAACCCCCCACCTTGTTTTTATTAGGTCAGGGGGGCAAGCCCCCCTGAAACCCCCCTACTCTTGGGGCCAAAACCGGCGAATAACAAATGCGGGGTGGGAACTACACCGAAAAAGCGCCGAGAATTCCAGGTTGTAATACTGGGATTTCCCAGTCTATCATAGCATAGTCATAATATATAGGCTAGTGAATTCATGTAGAGCTAGACAAGGCCTAAGCCTAATCACTGCTTTTTAATTGTCTACCTGGGAATACAATTTTCTCTTATTCCCACCACCCTTCGTTTATATTTCGAAATATTTTACTCCATTTTTTTTCTTACTTAGATCTAGGCCACCTCTATTCTCACCCGGAGTGAGAATAGTGCAGGCGAGTCTTGTGGCTATTCTCACCCGGTGCGCGTTCACCAAATTTTGCGTTCACCCTAAACCACAGAATTCTACACTGTGATAACAGAAAAATTGTAGAATTCTGTGCCGTGAACAAACGTTCCATTACAACTGTAGCCTACTAAAAGCGTACAATTTTGTCTATGGGCAGTGGAGAGAGAGAGAGGAGTAGCGCGAGAATTTCCGGGCAAAACAAAATGGCGACCCGCATAGTTCGGCTCGATTCGAAAAGTTAAATAGCCGTAGCATCTTTGTAGACAACCAAATTAATTTACTTTTGTGTTTTAACATCATTTTTTAACTTTGTTTTGGTCAATTTGATCGTCCACACCGATAGACAGTATTCAGAAAGAGACACAGAGAGAGAGAGAAGAGGGGAGGAGTTGATCTTGCGAGAACTTCCGGGCGGGTGAGAATAGCCACTTTCTAGATCTAATTGTTGTGTTCTTGTGTGGATGTCATGATTTAGTTTTAGTTTTACTTTCAATGCAATCATTTCAGAGTGTCTAATGTACACGGTAATCGGGCTCCTAGATCTAGATCTAGTCTTACTATCTATGACAGTCTACGTACTCGGTAACCAAAATGAAAATAAACCATTGTCCTGTGCTGTCACTTGATGAAGAAAAAAGAAAGTCATACAAAAGCGTCTTGTCGGGTTCGCCATCGTGACCGGTCAGTGAACCTGTGCGTTTGTATCACATAATGAGTACCGGTTGGGGTCACCAAAGTTCATGAAACTGCGCTGCGAAGTATAGGGCTTCGGAATGGGGGGGATTATTATGTGGCGTCGGTGGCCTAGTGGTTAGGCTCTCGGACTCGCAACCGTAAGGTCGTGGGTTCAAATCCCGTCAAGGGCCCGACGTTGTGTCCTTGGGAAAGGCACTTTACACGAATTTTCCTCACTTCACCCAGGTGGGAATGGGTACCCGGCTATA